TTAATGGCCTTATCAAGGTTTGTTGTCTTGTGTTCGTATCGTCGACCACCATCATATGCTTGGGACCATTTTTCTCACTCGATTTTTTATGCCCACTTCCAAAAATGCTTATCTGTGACCTTCAAATTCTTCAATCTCTTATCAAAATTTGGTTGGTGTAGTTCATATCTTGTTTCATAATATATATTGTGTTAACGCCAATTTAGAAACAAACTTTAAATAAATGGATACACATATTGAAAATAAAACTTACCCATGTTGACTATCTCACTACGAATGCGATCGTTATAAAATTTCTCAATACAATTCTTACCAATATGGCAAATACAATATGCGAGATATATGTGCGGAGGTGTCTAACGACTTCCCATTCGTTCAATTGCTACCAAAATGCATGTTTCTCGATCGGATATCAAACAAAATCCATCTTCTTGGATGATATACTTACGTATATTAGTCAAAAAGAAATCTCAAGCCTTTGTCGTCTCTCATTCAACAATGATGAATGCAATCAGGAAGATATTTTGTTGATCGTCTTACGCATCTACTATCAATAATATATGTTTATATTAACCGTATAACTTTATACCATCTACTTGGACCATACATTTGCAAAATGGAAAACCTTTTATACATGATTTGATTGCCTAAAAGAGTCCATGGAATATTCTCTTCCCTTGAATAAGTTAACATTCTAGGTTGTATGCAGGCATGGTCTTAGAGTTCACAATGGTTCTAAGTTTGAATCATTTCATAGCTTGTAACAAATCAGGTAGCTCATTTTATGATATATCTCAATCGCCATATAAACACCTTACTGCCTTCTCATTCGCATGCCAAACCAGTTTGTATTTTACATTGTATCCGAAATGGTCTCGAATAGATGCAGCTAACATCGAGCAAGGGATCCTGGGATTTTATTCAACCAATACCTTCACATATTGACATATTACATCGAAGTCCAATAGTCGGTGGTCTTGTTCGATAGAGTTTTGCAAATATGTGTATAGACCATTGTACCTTATGTGACCCAAACATCTTGCCTCTGCATTTTGGACACTCTGATCAGCCACTTACACTTGGGTCCATAATTAACACACTTCACGTACAGAGTTTTCTGGTTGGACTCTGCAACCTTGCAATCTACATGGCCTTTTATGCAATACTCTTTAATAGCCAATGTAGTTTTCCCTCTCTAAATTGCTTCCCAACTGATAATTCACCATAGTATTCGGATGATTCAGTCATGTGGCCAGAAGTTAAATGTGGCATCTCTGGGAATTCATGTGTCCTCATCGCATAATAATCTCTCGTGCATATAAGGGGTAGGTTGATACGGTGTTAGATATTCATCAATAGTCATATCAGGTTCATCACTATAAAAAATATCGTCATCCTCAGCTAAAACGGGTTCCTCAGTTTCTTCATCTTCACTGGAATCATAATGTATTTATCCCAGCGATTTTCATCGTCAACATCAACGATCGAATGCAGATGATGTATGCTTCTTACCCCACAATCTGCCACTGCAGATGTTCTACCGACTTCGTTTGCACTTTTCAACATCGCCACGAAACTATTTATAGACCTATATATCAGGTTCTTAATCTAACTTTCGAAAGCCATTTGAAATGAAGTTCCAACCATATTTCGTGATGACCCAAGCACATCAGATATATTACACACCTCAACAAATTACTCAATAATTGGAATATTTGTTGAGTTATGCAATTCAATCATATTTGTAACATCATCATCTTCTTCAAGTGGTATTGCAACATACATGACTGAATTTGGACATACCATAAACTTGTACCTCAAACCATCAACTATAGCTCGGATTTCACTTTCTATCATCTCTTTCATTTCTACAAATGTGATGTTCTTTTTAAAAACCATATTTATAGGTCTTTCAGACTGAAAAATAACTTCTACCTCATTTTCCATAATATGTCCATTGTAATGGACAATCATGAAAAAATTGTTGCTCATTTTCTCTACATATACAAATATAGATATTAAGAATAAAAAATAAAATACATAAATAAAACAATTTGTGACATATTAGATTAAAATTATATTAGATTAAAGTTACTATTATTATTATTAAAATTGAAATAATTGTTTTTAACATTTTTACTACAAATATTAAATCAATATTATTTTTAACATTTTTAATATTTTTACTAGAAATACAAAATCAGTATTATTTTAATGTTTTTACTAAAAATACTAAATCAAATGTTGATATAATTATTTTAACATTTTTACTAGAAATGCTAAATCAAACATTGATCAAATTATACTAATGATTCGCAAGGTAAAAAAATTAAATTTATTAAATCTTGCAAAAAAAATGTAAATATATTAATAATATTTTTTATCAATTAAAATAAGAATGTTATATCTTTATTTCAAAAATTTTATAACTACCTAGGATTAAATTATAATAATGATTAAATATCATTAAAAAATTATTGATTGTAATAAATACTATTGAAGTTATTATTTTTCGTCATTATGATAAATATTATTTTTCGTCATTATAATTATATTTTTAATATTTTTACTACAAATACTAAATTAATATGTTGATCTAATTACCTTAACATTTCTACTACATATACTAAATCAATAATATTAAAATTATAATAATTATATTTACATAACAATAAATTGTAAACTGAAATTTATTAATTCAATATGTAACTAACAATAAATCGTTATATACTTTAAATAAAAAAATTTAACACTTACTTGAGAGTTTCTTCCTACAAGTTGGTGTTATAAAAAAAAACCTTTTCGAAATTCTTACTCACTTATTTTTTACATGCAACAACATATTAAAATTAATATTTTAATATTAAATAATACGATATAAAATAGAGATATTTTATTTGAATAATATTTCAAACAAAATTTTATTCGAATAATACTTTAAATAAAATTTTATTCGAATAATACTTACAAATTAAATATTGAAAAAAAAATTCGTTCAAAATTTTCTTTAATATTCTTCCCGGATGCTCACTCTTTCAATTGTTCTCAAAATTTTGCATGTTCTCCCGTCTCTTTACCTTTGCTATGATCCCAAATTCTCAACCAAAACACCCCATTTTATATTATCCCGGGATATTAATGGTGCTCAACTGTTTCCCGTTCAACCACCAACCTACCTGAGTTATTAATGGAAAATGGTGCCATTAATACTTATATGTTTCCCAGTATGAGGCAACATACTTGTTTCTGTATGGCCTGAAGACGTCGTACATTCCAGAGTCTTATACATGGCCCGAAGATGCTGTACACTCCTGGAGTCTTATCCATTGGCCTGAAGACACCGTACATTCTTGGAGTCTTTAAGTTTGGTCTGAAGACGCAAAGCTGTCATGAAATCTTTGTGTTGTTACTATAAATTTTACCCTAAATGGAGAAGTAATTCTAAATGTGGAGAATATTGGGAATACAAAAAAAAGGCGATTTTCCCTAAAAACCATCCTACACCTATATATTTCATTGTTAGGCACCGTTCAGACTATATTTCCCGATCTAACACCTTTTGCAGAAAGGCGTGCCCCCTACACCGCGCTTTACACCACGTGGGGTAAGGTGCACCCCTACAAAGCGCCTTGTTCAATGTGTAAAAAACTCGGGTGTTAATTTTGTAAATATTTTTAAATTGGTGCCGAATGTGTAATTAATTTCTGTTATGGTGATATTTGTGTAAAAATGCCAACTTTATCTATTTATTTTTTTGTGATATTATTTTTAACAACAATTAATAATGTTTATTGACTTTTAAAATTAATTATTTAAAAATATTAAAATAAACTTTTAATTACAATTGAGAGATTAAATGAATTATTATTCACCTTCTTTAAAAATTAAATAAAAATGTAATAAAAATGAATTAAGAATGAATAAAATTTAATAAAAAATATAATGTAAAACTAAAAATATCATATCTTTATTTAAAATATTCTTTCTAATATTAATTTTAAAAAAATATAAAATAAATATTAAATTTTAATTTTATTAAAAATGAATAAATATTATTAACTGTTGTTAAAAAATAATAATTAATGACGAGACAAAACAATTTTTGTGAAGATTGAGCAGAAAAGATCAACTCTTTGATCGGATGTTTATTCGTGGTACAATTGAGTTGATATTTATACAGCAGTTAGACAATTTTAAGTTATTAACTTTGTACGATCAAATTTTCATTCGATTCCTGTAGGTTTCCACGCCTACGACTGTTTAACAATCATAAACTTAACTAAAATAAACTTTTAATTATAATTGAGGGATCAAATGAATTATTATTCATTAATTATTATTTTTAACAATAGTTAATAATGTTTATTCAATTTTAATAAAATTAAAATTAAATATTTATTTTATATTTTTTAAAATTAATATTAGAAAGAATATTTTAAATAAATAGGTGATATTTTTTAGCTTTACATTATATTTTTATTGAATTTTATTCATTTTTATTTATTTTTTTAAAAAATAAATAATAATTAATTTGATCTTTCAATTGTAATTAAAAATTTATTTTAATATTTTTTAAACAATTAATTTTAAAAGTTAATAAACATTATTAACTGTTAAAAATAATATCACAAAAAATTAAATAGATAAAATTGACATTTTTACATATATATCACTCTAACAAAAATTAATTACATACTATATACTAGTTTAAAACTATTTACAAAAATTAGCACCCAGATTTTTACACATTTAACAACGTGTTGCAGGGGCACGTTTTACCACACGTGGCGCCAGATCAACCTAAAATGCATTATAGGGGCGTGTTTTTCTGCCAAAGGTGTTAGATTGAGAAATATAACTTGAACGGTGCCTGATAGGGAAATATATAGGTTTAGGGTGAGTTTTGGGGAAAATCGCCCAAAAAAAACTTGTTAGAAAATTGGCCATTTTAAGCTTATAAAAAAAGTTCCCAAATTGTAAAACCAAAGCAACAACAACAATAGGAAAGAAAACCAGGGAGACAAAGAGAAAACAGTATCTGCAAAGCAAAACTACTCACTGCACATATTGGGGTTTTCGGCATCGTACAAAAACCCAGTGAGCAAGAAAACGTACACTTAAAAACAGGGTCAGCTCTGCCACAAACGAATCATCAATCTAAGAGAAGGAGAAGACCCGAACCCTACCTTCCCAGAAATCAATCCACTGTTCTTTCCCCCCAATACTCAGCTGAAAGATAGATTCTTTACTTGCTTGATTTGATTCCTTGTTCCGTGCTCTACGGGTGCTTTTAGTTGTTGGATCTGATCATCTTCGAGTTCAAGGTTCATGTTTTAGGGTTTTCTTTTTCTTCATGCAAACAACAAGAGGAACCCATGTCTTGATTGTCTGATTCATGAGATAAAAGATCAGGTTTTTGTACCTTTTCTGGGATTCTTCGTTGGAGATCTGTCTTTCAATCTTCTATACTACAAAAGGTAACCAACAAAATCCCGTATTTGTTTAGTTTTTTTTTTCTTCCATTTTAGTGCCTTTTGATTCCTCAAAATAGGGAAAAACATGGCGGCTAATCGGTGGTGGACTGGGAATGTGGCAATGGGAGGCGTCGGGTCCATGTCTCCCACCCCATCACTTCACCTTAGAAACCCATCGGAAGATCACCAAATGGAAGCTCTTAGAGCTAATATTAGCCCTTCGAATGAAGATCATCAAGAGGATAATGAAAATAGCCGACGCAATATCGAATCCGAAACTGTTGAGCCTGGTTCGGGTTCGGGCTCTCGCCGCCCTCGGGGTAGGCCGCCTGGTTCAAAGAACAAACCGAAGCTTCCGGTAGTTATCACTAAAGAAAGCCCTAACTCTCTTCGTAGCCATGTGCTGGAGATCGCCAGCAGCAACGATGTTGCCGAGTGCATCGGCAATTTTGCTCAACGTCGCCGCTGCGGCGTCTCGGTTTTGAGTGGGAGTGGTGTTGTCACCAATGTTACACTCCACCAACCGGCTGCCCCTAGTGGGGTGATCACTTTACATGGAAGATTCGAGATTTTGTCTTTATCGGGTGTGTTTTTGCCCACACCATCTCCACCGGGAGCGACGGGGCTGACTGTGTATTTAGCCGGAGGACAAGGTCAGGTTGTTGGAGGGAATGTGGTCGGGGCATTGGAAGCATCAGGACCAGTTATGGTTATCGCGGCGACGTTTACTAATGCCGTTTACGAAAGGTTGCCTACAGAGGATGAAAATAACGGTGGCGGAGGAAAAGGCGGTGAAAGCGGCAATAACAATAACAATAACAATAGTAGTAATGACGGTGGCGACGGGAATTCGGGGTCTCAATCTCAAGCTATGAGCCAACATCATCCCCAAGGTGGTTCCATTCCTATGTATAACGTGCCTCCTAATTTGGTGCCTAATGGACAAATGCCTCATGATCTATTTTGGGGAACTCCTCCTCGTCCGCCGCCATTTTGTTAACCGGAAACAGACGCTGATCGAATACGCCGACCGGGTTTTGGTATGAAACAAGTTGTGGGTTTTATTTTTGTTCATGTAAGAGTAGTAACAAAGGTAGGGCTTTTTGTTTTACTATGTTCATAGTTTTTTATCTTTGTGAATTTAAACAAGTTCTTGGGCTAAGTTTATGCTTTAGGTCACTTCTTTTGTACAACTTTGTAGAACCATCTCTTAATCAAACTTTGTTTTGGGTGAGCAAATCTATGAATTAGGCTTAGAAAGTTTACTTACTGTTATTTCGTAATAGAAATGCATTGAATATTGATGATGTAGGTGAAGAATTCGAGTTGAGGGATTTGCAAGGATATATCATTCCTTTTAAGGGTATGCTTGTTGAAACTCATCTTATTTTTTAAATATTTCAATTTTCTCCCTAAATTGAACAATGTTGATGATAAGCTTGAAATGGAGTTTTTCAAGCTTTCAAGCGTGTGGTAGGGGGCAGAAGTTGAGCTACTTGGGGCCTGTGATTCATCTGAACCTCCCCCAAAATTTGTACAATTCAGATTTTTAAGTACTTGTAAAGTTTACCATCATAATGATTCATTGATGTGTTGTTTTAGGTCTTGTCATATTTTACTCGTATGTCTTCTACTGAAATTTAACTGTTTTCTAGCGTTTATGAAATTATGGGCCTGCTGCTGTTGCCTCTATCTTCGCGTTGTAATATTGTGGTCATTTTGTTTGCAAGTAATTATAATAGGATATTGTTATGTTATTATTTTCTTCCTACAAGATATCGAAATGAGATGTATAGCATCTCATCGTTTATAGATTTTAAGATTTTCTTTATGTGAGATTAATGTCTCTCATTTTTTTTTCTTTTATTCAATTTCCTGATGTCCTCATCGCTAGTTCTCGTTGCAGTTATCTTAGGCGTGCTATTACAATTATCTATTCTATCTATCCCACTCACAGGGTGCTCGATATGAAATCAGATAGCCAAAGTATTGTTTTGATATCATTTGTCACAAGGTCATTATCCTCTTGTCAAATCACATGTCTGATAGTATATGTAATGCCATCGTTAATAATTTTAAAATATATTCTCTTTTTTTTGTATGAGATTAATATTTCTTGTTTCTTTAAAGCGTGGCATTATGCATGTATAATATAAAATACGAATTAACTTATTTGAAAAGTTTTCCTTCAATAATACTAATGCTATCATCTTCTTTAATGCTTCGGTTGATGATTCGACCATAACCGACCTACTGTGGCGGGGAGTCGTATATGTGTGCCGTGCCATGGCCATGATTAGTAAGACCATTGCTCGTACACTAAAGAATTTTGATGACAGATGCAGCATTGGTTTGAAATAGGTTTTGGCTTGCCTCAGGTATAATATATGGACAAGTTAATTTCTTGTGGTAGTAGTTATATGAAAAACACAAGGAACATTGTAGATAACTAGTTTTGCAACTTCCTTGAAACTTGCAGCAAAATTTCAATAACAATATTCTTTTATAAAAGTCAATCCTAATCCGCCCAACAGATGCAAAAATGTATGTAAGAACACTAGACAAGTGCAATTAGTTTAGATATGTTGCCTATATCTTAAACCTTGTCGAGGAACATAGTTGTTCATCTTGTAAGGAATCTTATGCTACCCCCATTAACCTAAGTTGTCATCTATATTATCAGAATCATATAAAAAATATCATAACTACGTTTGATTTTAATTTATGTGAACTCTTAATTTGAATCAAGTTAATTTAAATTGATTTAACTCAAAATCAAGACTAACTGAATTGTGCACGAAGCAACTTACCTTAGTGATAATGGAATGGTTGTTGTTTCTAGAGGTTACGAGTTCGAGCACTAGCGGTTGCACAAGGGTGATTGAGCATTCATTGTCAAATGATTGAGAGTATTTAAAACAAAAACTACCTTTTAATCGCCTTAGCTTGATGAACTGTTGATACTCAGCACAATGGTCGGGTATTATTGAACGGCAGCACTTAATGGAGAAGAGAAAGGGAATGATATCAATTACAATAATAAAACGTGGAATAATAGGTTTTTTTTATAACAGTAGAATGAATTACAATTGATCTCTCTTTAGCAATTACAATAGGAGGCTCTTATAGCCCTTTAAGCCTTGCTAACAAACTAACCGAAGTGTAATTACCAAGTAACAAATATTAACTAATTCTATTACAGTCTAACATAACTTGATAAAAGAAATATTCGATTTGTTAAGCATTATTCGATTTGTGGATTCGATCTTTATATTTTAATTTGACATTTTTAATTTATGTATTTTCAAATTTCAGTCATGACTCGAATAATATATTGATAATAGGACTAAAGTGGTAAATGCACGTCATATTTGGGGGAGCATTTTTGATAAATTGAGCGAATTTTGTGTTTGATAAGACAGAGGAATTAGCGTGGGAGAGGGGGAGAAAGTGGGGAATAATTTGTATTTGAAATCAGTTCGGTGTTGTCATAGCTCAGAAATGTTTGAAATCCGTGGGAGCATTATTATTATGTTGGTATAGATAGAAATCCGTTAGTTTTATTAAAAATAAAAAATATTCAGAATTACAATAAATATTTAAAAATATAATCGTAAATTAACATATAATTGATACTATAAAAAAATTTCAAATTACTAATAGATTTAAAATCTGTCACAATTTATCGATGAAAATAAATTATTTCGTCACAAAGTTGTGATTTGAATGTAGTTTTTGACCGAATTATTTTTTCCATCATAAAGTTTATTCATTTAAATAAAAAAATCAATTTAATTTGTGACAGAACAATGATTCCGTCGATAATTTTGTTCACTTTAATAAAATATACCAATTTAATTTGTGATGGAATAATCATTCCGTCATAGATAAAAAAAAATATATAAAAAAATATTATCACCACTTGTAAACAATTACCATTTATATGCATTTATCATTTACTTTTTTGATTTATATGTATTTATCATTTTTATTTTATATTATGTTAAATATTTAATTTTTCTTTTATATGTCCACTTGAAATTATAATATACTGATTTATATGTATTTATCCTTTATTTTTTTTAATTTATATGCATTTATCTTTTTTTATTTTATATTGTAATTTTAGATTGGAAAATGTTGTTTGTCTAAATGATTTAGCTATCTACTTTCATGACTTATATATAGTATACTCAATCATCTTCTTATAAAAAATAAATTTTTTCATCTACAAAGGTTATTGCTTTGCATATGTTCAATGATAATATATATAATGCAAATTGCTTCCTTTTTTTATATAGTTAACACAAGTTGTTTCTAATTAATTAATAAACTTCTTTTTTAATGACATTGATAATGTAGCTATTATTTTTTTACATTTATAAGAAAAATAATATTTTAAAATTTATTTTTGGTGTATGATAGCGTTCCCCGCGATACGATCTGGAAGACATTGGAAACGAGACGGATCCCAACTGCTTATATCCGCGCGATTCGTGATATGTACTGTAGATCTACTACCTATGTCAGGACTACAGTTAGTGACACCGAGGCATTACCGGTGGAAATCGGACTCCACCAAGAGTCGGCTCTTAGCCCTTACATCTTCGCTTTGATTATGGACGACATCTATTGTGCGACACCAGACGGTGTGCCATGGTGTATGCTTTTCGCTGACGACATTGTCTTAGTGGCTGAAACTAAAACTGAGCTGAATAGTAGACTGTCTACTTGGAAATCAGCTTTGGAAGAAAAAGGTCTAAGGATCAATATTGAAAAGACAGAGTATTTATGTTTAAACTTCAGTGGGAACCAAAACGATGAAGATGTAGAAATATGCATAGAAGGACACGTTCTCCCCTCAAAGGATTGTTTCAAGTACCTAGGGTCTATGATACGTAAAGATGGGGGTGTAGATGAAGACGTTTCTCACCGTATAAAGGCGGGATGGCTAAAGTGGAGGGCTGCTACTGGAGTTTTGTGTGACAAGAAGGTACCTCTAAAACTTAAGGGAAAATTTTATAGAATGGCAATAAGACCAGCGCTGCTATATGGATCAGAATGTTGGGCTATCAAGAAGGATCACGTAAGGAAGATAGAGGCCGCAGAAATGAGAATGCTTCGATGGGTATGTGGTAGGACGCTGTGGGACATGACACCAAACTCTGCTATTAGGATGTCCTTGGGGGTGGTGCCTGTATCCGAAAAACTGAGGGAGGGAAGACTACGGTGGTTTGGGCATGTCCAAAGACGACAACCATCGGATGCGGTTAGGAGGGTAGAGTCGATTACAGTCGACGGTACCAGAAGGAGAGGTAGACCAAGGCGGAAATGGGAAGACTGCTTGAGATCTGATTTAAAGGATTTAGCCCTTACCGAGGACATGACCTATGATAGGAAATTATAGCGACTTAAGACCAGGGTAGCCGAGTAGGGCGAGTCACATCCGTGTATCATCTTTGTCTTCTTTTAATGCCTTTGTAGTAATTTCATTACTTATACTTTTTATACGTTTCTGTCATTGGAATTTATGAAGGCCTAGAACTAAGGTAGCGGAGTAGTGTTGCCTTAGTTTATGTTCTAACCCATTTGACTTTATCCCTTCTCGAAGCCTGCTATCATTGAATTTTGTGTATACTGCTCAACATGTTTCCTCTTTATAATTTTGGCCGGGTCTTACGTTTCTGTCTATATGCAGATATTTTTATGCAGAGATTTATTTGCAGGGATTACTTACCATTACAGACGTGCATATGAGGACTGCATATGAAGATTGTTCAACTACGTATTTTATTTATTTATTTAAGTATGCATTGTATTTTATCTTTATTTTTAATTTTTTGACTGCCAGAGGTCCTCCACGGAAGCTGCTCTCAACCTGGCGTTGGGGGACAGCCTACTACCCTATCTCCCCCTTACCCCATTATATATGGGAATAGGGTTTTGTTGTCGTTGTTGTTATTTATTTTTTTTGCAGAATTCTGAATTTTCTACAAAATTTGTGAGCTGAAATAAGTTCGAATTTATTTTTAAAACATAATGCTATTAATTTATTAGTATTATTCTTTTAATTAAAAAGGTGCAAAATATGTAAAAAAAGTAAATAAAATATTTTTGCATGTAACATATTTTAAATGTTTTTTGCATATAAATAAAAACAATAATTAAAAATTTTTGCATGTAATTTACAATAATAATACCATAAGTCCTGACTTTTTATTTTTTTAGAAAATT